ACTCTTAAACTGAAATCACGGCAACCCTGTCAATGTATTTGCTCCCTATCTTTGCATGTAGAGTTTGTCTTGATGTAGAGGTGGACTCTCAGGATAGCGTGGGATATTCCCTCCATTTTGACCTCAACTTGAGAGCTTTTTTTGAGCTTGGGAGTTGATTTCGGAGAAAACGAGTGGCCCCATCAAGTTTTTTGCGAACTTTCACATAAGAATCAACAGTCAAATCGCAAATTCCTCATACATGCAACATCTCCATGGTCACTCAGCTCTTTCTTTCCTGACAAACAGAATTCATTTGTTCTTTCTAATACCTGGTAGAGGACAGCTTAAAAGTGGCTGGGGTAGGAAAAGCGTACCACTCCTACATCAAGAATCTAGCTCAGGTGCTCTATCTTTAAAACACGGGGTAAATGTTTCTTTAACCTTCGATTGTCGTAAAACTTTTTGAATATAATAAAAGTGTTTGAGCGTATGAAAATTAATGAAACAATGAAGTTAGTGTAGAATTTATATTGAAGGGCTTGAGGCATGTATTATCGAACGTCTAGGACCAAATTGAGATTTTGCTCCTCAAAATTTTTCAAATTTATGTTTACACCACAAAAGTCAAAGCGACTATGCCATTGTTTTGACTACGAGGATTTCCTTCGGTAATGAAAGGACTTGTCACTGAAACTTGAACACTTGAATCCCCTCACCTACAGTTCCAAAATTACTGTTACTTTAACAAAATTGTGCACTTTTCTTGAAATGGAGATTAAGTAGTTAGTCAGATTACTTAATTACTGTGACCTTAAATTCCAACAACGACAAATTTATACAAGCTCACCATTATTCCTAATCATTGTCGGCCTCCTGTGGTGTAGTGGTTGTAGCACTGGCCCTATGACCAAGAGGTCCCGGGTTCGATTCCCGGCCAGGTGATCTGAGTTTGATGGTCTCAGGCAATGGTCACCTGGGGTTGGGGTAATAAACGTGGGATTAGCCGATAGGCTATTTGAAATTGGTAAAAAAAAAAAAAGAAAAAAAATTTGTCAGAGACAATAAGTGCAGTGCCAGAGAGTCTGCAGCCTGCCTATCGTATTTCTTCATAACTTTCTCCAGCAATGTAACGTCCATAGTTGTATGATTCTCACGGTGGGGACAATACAGGATACTTTTTGAACAAATTTCATTACTAGCAGTTGTGAAGTTAACAGACAGATACACATACAGATATACATGAGAGGCACTGTCACAGTGCTTTCTGACACTCACTAACGTCTACCTGCCACGGTACCTTGTCCTCCCACAGCTCTGCGGGGGAGAGCTGACATGAAATTTTTTTCTCTCAAAAATTCAAAGTCGAAGGAAAATATTTTGTACACAAAATTAGTAATTTGACTTACTCCTAAGCATTGAGCCTCGTGGAAGAGAAAATTTCAAACTACCTTCTCTTGGTGCAAACTTGAGGCGAGTTGGTGTGTTTCTGTTAAATTCTACCCATTTCATCCATCACTTAGATACACTATATCCATGGAGAAAAAAAGAGGCGGTCGCATTTCAGGTATCTTGAATTTTTATGATGATGTAGGTTGATACGGACAATTGTTATCTTGGATTATCTTAAAATGTGGTTTACGGAAAAAATTTTAAGTCTCTGATTAAGTGCTTGATATTATATTTTGAGTTGATCTAAGCAAAACAGTACGGTTATTATGGTCTGTGAATCAAATTTCGAATTTTGCTGTAATTTCGAGCCATATTGTGCCGACCTTCATTACAGGGTAAATAATCTTCAAGATGCGACCACCTCCGTATTTGCTCTATGCACTATAGCCATTTTTGACAGATACTCTATCACTGGATCTGGATGGCGGGGAGGATCTTGATATTACTGATCTCTACTAACTATTTTTATAGTATGACAGCACTGTAGCTGTACTATGTTCAATTTATTGATGCGTATTCAACAATACAAACTGGTAATGAATAGTGATGATGTGTTTGAGTGGATTTGTACGATGGGAATTATCTTTCTGTGTCAAGTAGGTACTGTAAATGAATTACCTGGAGTGAGATACGGCAAATATGATTGGTGTGTCCGGCAAGGTATAGACACCAGTAACCAGTGTTAAGGTAAAATGTGGGACCTTGATGAAAGAGAGCTCCGCAACCCAGCAAGAACCAATTTTGGTACGGCACTGAACGATTCGCCAGAAGATAAATTGAAGGCGAAATAAAAATTATCACACTAAACACAGAATACTAGCACACTTGTTCCTTCTTTTAGTTCATATGACACGATCAAAATGATTGCAATAAACTTGAAATTCACCGTGCGAGCTTGTGAGCTTTGGACTATGATGAAGAACGGACACATAACCTAAAATGTCAACAAACCTGTTGTTTGTTGCTGCGGCGGGCAATTAATTTTAAATGACCAACCGAATGAAAAAGCTTGTTGTCCGGCCGGTCGGATACAGTACTTTCTCCGTCGATTCGCGATAGAATTGCATGTTTTTGGGCTTGAATGAAAGAAGAGAGTCTAATCTTCAGACTGACATCCTTGGATTTTGAAATTAAGTGTTCTAATTCTTTAAATTTACCGTCAACTGAGAGGATCGTCGGCCGAGGGCCGAGATTTCTTGTGGGGAAACAGTACTTTCTCAACCACAACACCTTGCATTTTGATGATCAAAGGCTCAAAATATTCGCAATACTCTAATCTACAGAGTGACATTTTCCGATTTTGAAATAAAAGCTCAGATTCTTCAAAATTCAGCTTTGACTGCAGAAATTTGACGAAAAACGGACATCGACGGTGGCGTCCCCTGGGCGGAGAAATCTATAAACAAAAAAACTGAGGATCCACCTTAAGGGGATTCGACAGGGGCTCAAGTTGAAATCTGCGATAAGAGATCGCGCTACCGTCGACGGCGCTCTGAAAAGACCGCGAAGTATGAATTTTCGTGATTTTACCTATGTTGTGATGAAATTTCGAAAATCCATTGCAGGTTTTCAAATTTGGAAAAAAATCAGTTCGAGCCTTATATTTGAGCTACCTTCCTGAAAAATTTCAGCTCAATTGATGCCATAATAAAGCCGGAATCCTGCAGACGGCGAGGGCACCGTGGAGCGAATACGGGAGTTAGGCACGGTTCAAGATGAAATTTTAAAAAACTAGGCTGTAAGTTGAAATTTGGAAAAAAATCAGTTTTAGCTATTGATTTGAGGAATCTACTGTAAAATTTTTAGCTCGATCAATGCTCAAATAAACTCAGGATCGTGAAAACGGTGAATCCACCTAGTTTTGAGTCACCATCGACCACTTCCGTTCCGAAGCATATTGTGAGAAAACTAAGCCATAAATTGAAATTTGAAAAAAAATCATTTCTAGCTATAGGTTTGAGAGACCTATTGTCAAAATTTCAGCTAAATCAATGCCCAAACAAACTCGGAATCGTGAAAACGGCGAGTGCACCTCGGATCGATTCACTATCAGTCGCCTCTGTTCAGAGGCGAAATTCAAAGAAACTACGCCATAAATTGAAAATTTGAGAAAATAATTTCTAGCTGTGGATTTGACCGACCTACTATCAAATTTTCAGATCAATCAGTGCCGAAATAAACACGGAATCGTGAAAACGGCCGGTTTCTCTTCAAGTGACTGAGGGCTATCTGTAGGGTGGGTCAAGGTTACAGGCCAGCTGGCGTCGTTGCGTCAGTTCAATGAACCGTTACACTCGCCATGTCGCGTCGCCATTCAAATCAAACTGCGTAGTAGTCTTATCGCCTCCGGCACCTCGGGCTTGGGATCGTTCGTCCTTCGTCCTTCATTTTGTACGAATACGCGTTAGAAATTCGGCGTCGGTTTCCTTTTCAGTGTGTTATCCAAGTGCCATCTTGTTCTCTCATTCACGATCAATTGCCAAGAGTGAGCCAGTTTCTTTTGTGGAAGTGAACTTTGTCATTTTTAGTTTCAAAACCGTTCTACGATGTCTGTTATTTTCAATTTCTCGTCTTCCCAAGCATATTTCCTCTCGATTTCTGGTAAGTACCCCTCTTTTCCAACTCCAAACTGCCACGGGATATGTTTCGTTGTTTTTCCTTTTGACCAACGTCTGACCAATCTTGCCCTTACACTTTTCTAATTACTGCAGGCTCTGGACGGAAATCTCAATGAATCTACTTCTCCCTCAGTCCAAACTCCTCAGCTCCTTCTCTTATGCATAATGGATAATCCTCTGCTTTATTTATACCTGTGGAAGGTAAACTCTCAGCGACAAACCTACTCTGAAATAGACTAAAGTAGCAGAAGTTGACCAGTTACTGGCTCAAGTAGTTCATAGCCGACCCTTTTTGATGCAACCTCCATCAGTGGTGCATGGATTATTTTCAATACATCCTTTCCATTCCTGCCTATTGTGTTCTTATCTGCCCCCTTGATTTGCATCTTGATTTCAAGTGAGAACACGTTTGTCCCCACGTCCATTGAAATTCAATTAGTACTTCCAATTTGCGACCAACATCACTCTCAGTATTCTCTAAAACCTCGAGTTTACGCCATGTCAGTTCACACACCTCTAAAGTGCAACAGAGGATTGACTGGTCTCACTTTAGCATCGCTACTACATCCTAGAATCAAGATCACAGATTTTCTGTTGCAGTCCAAAGGTGCCCTAACTACATTGGCGTTGACTTTACTTAGGTAGGTGTAGCTCTGCAATCACCAGGCTAATAATTATTTGTACTTTTACTTCATTCTGATCGACATTTTGCAATTCAAGCTGCACCTTTTTCTTTTTATCCATTGGTCGATCGACCAAGGGGGCTTTGATGTCTGTATGACAGATGACACAATCCTCAGAGAGCGTCTATCAATGTACGTGAATAAAAACTCTACTAAATTGATGAAATCATATGTTTTTACTCTTTGTCCGTATGAATATAACAATGTAAGATACCCTCCCTAGAATGAATTTTAAAAATTCAAGTCACTACAATATACCTTCAGAAGCATAATTAGAATTAATCCTACAGAGCAGGAAGACAAAAAAATTCTGAATCATCAACATCACACTGTTTGGGTAGAAAAATTAATTCATTGAATTCTTTCAGTGTGTCGCCACCTCAGCCATAACAGCAAATACAACTAAGGAAACACTAGCTTTGAAAATGCAGAGACTCAGCAATATCAAAGAAAACTCTTCAAAATTTCACAGCACACACTCATCAGCAGTTGCAAGGAAATCTTGAAAAACACTGTGACATGGCATGGCTGCAAAAATGTCAATCACTCCTCAAAGGTTTCATCGTTTCATGCACAAGTAAGAAACCTCAATAATCTACCTCTTAGCAACGTAGACAGGCAAAATTGAAAGTTTGGACTAATATAAGTTGACTGGATTTCTTCAATTAGTGAAAAGGTTTCTGAGATAATTCATTAATTCTGTGCTTCAATCAAAATCTATGCTCACAGTTGTCGCTGCTGTTTTTAATACTCAATTCCTCAAAGCACAGACGATGACAAACTTCAAGTAATCATTGAGAACCATAAGTAATTTTCATGTCTGCCGAAACAAAGCTTAAAATAAATTACAATTTTAATACAAAAAATTACAACGTATCACAAAAGTCTAGTGGTTACAAAAACAAATATAATCGTAGAGAAATTTAGAGAACAGGAATACAAAAATAATTCTTCAGTCTCTATCTACTTTGGCAGAAAAATTAGTCACTACATTGCCTCTTTGTTTCCACCTCTGCTGGAACATCAAGTAACAAGAAAAACACAAGCATGAAAAATGAAAATTGGCCTCAGGACAAATATCAAAACAATTTATAAACCAACGGTTGAGTTTCGGTTCTGGGACTGTGACCCGGTCCGTTCGTAAACATAAATATCTCTCCTCACATAGGAAATAACTAGGCACATACAGAATTACACAAGTGAGTTACAATACAAGATCGACAAGAAAAATTACATACACAATTGAACAAGTACGGTACATTTCAACACTTACAAAAAAAATAAAGAGTTTGGAGCAATGTAAACTGACTCAAAAGGTTTTTTATCAATTGCACTTTCAATGCAAAAAATACTACGTACCACAAACGTCTAGTGGTTACAAAAACAAATATCATCAGAGAGAAATTTAGAGAATAGGAATGCAAAAAAAATTCTTCAGTCTCTATTATTAACTGCTTTGGCAGATAAATTAGTAACTACATTGCCTCTTTGTTTCCACCTCTGCTGGAACATCAAGTAACAAGAAAAACACAAGCATGAAAAATGAAAATTAGCCTCAGGACAAATATCAAAACAATTTATAAATCAACGGTTGAGTTCCGGGA